AGTATAGTAGATTCGCCCTGGCTTCACCCCTATGTGTCAGAACTGAAAATGCACCACGAAAGGAATTTCGTTATGACGCGACGGGAGCTGCTACGTTCTTCGCGAGCGCCGACACGTGACGAAAATGAAACATTTGGGACGCGCATCTTGAGGATGCCCTTGCATCTCTCGCTCTCTCACCCTGAAACGCGACACAAACGACGACTTGGATGGTAATAATCCTAGAAGCGTGTCTAAATTGGCGATTACATTGACGTAAATCGACGCAGAGCTAACGTTGAGAAACGATCAAAAATATTTTATATAAATTTTTGTATTGCCAATCGAAATATAAAAACGGCAGCATATGAAATTTTTGGTACGGAATGTACTTATTTACTAGGATTTTACAGTCTGATCGTTGGCGGATTTTATCAATCGGGAATTAAGCTCTTTACAATGCGCGCAGGATGCCTTCCTCGTCGATGTTGTTCAGAATTCATAATTCGCGAATAAAAAGGGAATTGCCTAAAAGAGTGGAAAGTACGGCTGATAGATGGAAAAATGATAAAAAAGCCGCTATTTTTTTGTGGATTACATTATTCAGCGTTTCGGAACTAACAACGATTGTAACAAACTGCGTTATCCAGTGATGCAAAATATCTCTTATGAATTTTTTAATGGTATGCTTTTTTCCGCGTCGCGGCTAATGAACGCTACCTGTACTCGGTGACCGAGTTATTAAATATTGGAAGCACGTAACAAAAAGCGCAAAAACCCATTTCGATATAAATATGAATTGGATGTGGAGAAAAATTACAGGGAAAAGTCCTCTATATAATGCTGGAGATAATTGAATAAAGCGTATAAATTTATCTAAAAATTATCCAAAATAAAAAATTATCACAGTTCGGTTTTTGCGCGCCTGCACGCAGACATAGTATTAATTCTGCATAATAGAAATATTATAAATAAGTAATTATGTTATATTTCCTGTAATTATTTATTTATAATATTTCTCCATGATATGATTAGTAATTAGTAATTGCAAATACTATCAATAATAAATAATATTGATATTGTTAATAACAAATAGTGATAAATGTGAACTAAGAATAATACGAAATTTAGAGCAAAGTGACATCAGCCCATGTTATAATATATATATATATAACGATAATCTCTATTTCTTAAATATTCTGAAACAATAACATATTGTACGCGGATATAGATTCCTCGTCGAATTCCGTACGCAAGTTTTCGAGAGGAGATGCGGGAACCTCGGGAGGCTTTCTATCTTCCTATGTCTATCTCTAGATGTACACAACCGAGAACTCTCCGTCCCGAGATTCGATGGATTACGTGCAGGAAAATGTGGCTCGGGGCCAGACACGGAATGTCATTACGTCGGGTAACGATAGGTACGTCGCAGCCATTGTTGGATTGCTTCAGTTGAACATAGAGCCGTGTGACTAGCATAAGCGATCTTTTCCTTTTTTTTTAACCATTTTGCATTGTTTAAATAATGATGGTAAAATAGCGTACTGAATTTTGTCATGTTAATAGACTTCCTTGACTATACACCTTTTGTTTCTTGTAACAACACTAATAGTTGAATATTCGAACATCGTTTCCTCGATTAGTCAAATTAAATTAACATTTCGATGACGTTCTCAAGAAATTTGCTGTTTCATTTCATAATCGCTAGACATATATTTAAATGTTCTGAGGGATTATTTATAAATTCGCGTAAGAGATAACGTTATCTTCCAACATAACAACATTACATATGTATATACATATGAAATATGCGTATAGCAGTATTTCTAGTTGCACGATTTATCATCACATACAAAGAAATTCTGGCACAGTTTTCATTTGATCTTATCACGTTGCATAATTTGAAAGAATTATGCAATATTATGTTCCGCTTAATAAATCTTGTGTTACGCATATTTTCTCGCGACGGCAAAGCAACAACTAAACACGAGAACACGATCTGTTTTACCGTCAATGACGCAACTATGGTTCTATACTTACGGTGATTATGTGGCAGAGTTATATAAACATTTTCCATTTTTCATGAACGTGTGATCGCCAGACGACGGTTTAGAGACAATGTACGTTTCAAACGTATAATCTTTACTCGTCGCACGAGTTCATCAAGATCAATTAGAGCAGTATGGTCGAGCCATCGTCGTTCGTTAACGATATATCAATTACAGCGTTAGACGTAGGTAATGACTATTAATGACTTCATTCAGAGCGCAATAATTACACGATGTACGTCCGCGGACTTGAGGACAGATCTAGGTCGGCGCTGTTTTCCACAAGAGGAGACAGTTTTATCGTGTTTGGGTTATCGATGCATTCATCCTGATTTACGATTGAAATAACGCACCAATGCGAAATGAATTAACACTTTAATCTGCCAGAATATTGCGTGTCACTAGCAAGATCGTGCTTGGTTAGTAATATGAGATACTCGATACATACTCATGCGTTAAACATGTTTCTTAACAACTTTTCAGCAATCGAACGATACAAATTGATTCTTGGGACAACAAAAAATATCGAGAGTGACGGCTTTAATTATTTTTAGTTGCGTATACATTGAGAATTTTAAATCATTTCATTCGTTAGACGGCTTTTTAGTTATCGATTTCTAGTTCTATATAAAAAGACGCTAGAAGAGTACAGGTGTTTTGCTTCTTTGACCTGAAAGTCATCTAATTAACTTTCAATGTCACTTAGATGGTACATTAGATAAATATCTTTTTTCCGAGGTAGAGAATCAAAAACGAGAATCAACGATACGCATTTGGTAATATATATCATACATGCAAGGTCGCGTGTTTGAGATGCAGAACGTTGTCTAGGATTCCGGAGAAGCAATAGCAAAAATGTTCGGGTAGGTCTTCCAAGAACTCATAAATCACTAGGAGCAACATCCGGTGTTCGCGCGTGGAGACTGCTCTAGGTTTCCTAACGAGAGAGAAGGAAGAGGTGCAGCTCATGGCATAGAAAACCCACCTCAAGTTTCCCTTTTATAGGCAAATAATGGCGGCGTCGAGCGATAAATAGCCGAACAATACGGCTGGCAGACCGTTACCTGCTTGCGACGGAACCGCTCGTGTCGAATCGAATTGACAGGTGGTAATTCCCAACGAAGACTACTTCCGTTTTTCTATCGTCTACACGTTGAAGCGATGATCCCCTAATAATGACCAGCCGTGATTCATTGGAATTTATCCCTTTTACAACCCTTATATTACTTTACTGGACGTATCGTTTTTCTTCTTTTTGTGAAGTTGATGATATTTTGTTACACGATCCCTTGAATGTTAAATGTCGTTAAACATCTTCATCTTTCATCGCAGAATTATGATTGATTGCCAAATCGAAGAAATACCCGAAAAAATAAATCAGAGTATAGCCAATAATGGGCCAGTAATCAAATTCCTAGTCAGTGTTATCATGCAATTTACTTGCTACAGTCTGCTTTATTTCTTTGATTAGAATAAATTATGTATATTAGCGTATATTAATTATTATGTGTGAATTGTTTTGAATAAAAGATTACCTTTTTCACTCTATATTTTTTTGTCATAAATAATGGCCTACAACAAGTTTATTTTGTCTCGAAACTCTTATCTTAAAAACATATAATTAATCAAAATACGATATTTCATATAACAGGAAGTAAAAAAAGTATATATGCGTGATATCTCCTTCATTTTCTTGCACAGACGAAGAGAGCAAGAATCTGAGACCGATTCTAATGTTATTTTAAAGCTATTAGAGAGAGAGAGAGAGAGAGAGAGAGAGAGCGAGAGCGCGATGTCAAAACACAATTTGAAAGACGTAATTCGAAAATCGTCGTTCGCCCGACGGCAGCGACCCTCCGTCGGACGTCAAAATGAAATTATGCGACCCTCCACAACGGGGACCTTGGGGCAGGCACAAAGGCTCGTTTGCCGAGGACACAGTACAACAATCTGTCTAAAGGGACCTAAACCACTAATCGTTTCGCGATTAACTTCCATTAAACGCTACTTAATGAACAAAACTTTCCTTCTATATCGTGACCAACCGCAGACAGTCTTCAAGACGTTCTTATATGTGAATTAAGTTCTTCGTTTTAACCTCACTGAATACTCCGTTCGCGTGATATTTTAATAAAATGATTGCTTCAATAAGAAGATTTACAATAATCGACAAAATGTTTTCATAGTGTAACGTAATCATTTATTAGTATAGTATAATTTTACGAGTATTATATTGCGGTATTGCGAAACGAGTGGTGGTAGGACACAAACGATTTTTCAGTAAACTACACCGACGAAATATGTCTTCCATATGGGTTCATTGTTTAGCCACGTGTTACCAGTGAAATAGAAAATACATTCTCTTTTTCGGAAATTTTTTTAATGTTTACTTTTTAAAGTAATCAGTCTTTGTTCGCATTTAAGAATTCGTACTTGAATATTTTAACATTAAATAATTATCGTATGACGCTATAATCATAATCCAGTACTTTCGGTATCGCGGATTCAACAATTTGCACTGTTATTAATGAACCGGCGCTCTCGTAAGAGCACGCGTATATGTACGAGTATTGGCGAGAACTGTTTGTTGATTTAGCGCGTATTTAACGACATTGAAGGAGATTTGAACGTATGCGAATACTAGACATCGAGTGGCATATACGAAATATTTCATTGTCCCGGAAAGTAAATATATTCTATTAGTCTATTAAAGCTAATATAAATACGTACAACATTCCATCGTATTTAGATAAAGCGTACTTCATTAGAATCCATATGTATTGATCTGATTTATTCTGTGAAAAGAGGATTTTGCAATTTGAACGGGTTTAACCATTCGGAATTTGACAAACTATTTGACAGAATCGCAATAGAAGCGTGATTTTGGTCCGGACGATTATCAATCCTCTCAGCAGTCTGTCCTTTCTGATTAAAGAAAAGACAGGGAAGAATACGATTAGTTTTACGACACACCTGTTTTTCGCTGCAGCAGCGCGATCCCTCTGTCTCCTATTCTTGAACCAATTTCCAACTTGCGTTGGTGTGAGTCCCGTCGCGGCGGCTAGCTCCCTCTTCTTTCCCGGATTCGGATAAGGATCCTGGAGGTACCATTCTCGGAGTAACGATCTGGTTCTTTCTTTGAAGCAGTGCGTCTTCTGTTCGCCATCCCAGATTGTCCTCGGCAATGGGAATTTCTTCCTTACGCGATACTTGTCCACGGGTCCTAGCGGCCGACCGCGGAGTTTTTCGGCTTCCTGGTAATGTGCCTCTAGCCACATGGCTTGCAATTTACCGTGAGAGTCCTTGGTGAACTTGTGCCTCTCTAGTATAGCGTAAAGCTCCCGATAATGTCCCGAATGAAACGCCACAATGGCTCGCGCCCTGAGAACAGCCTCGCTCTGGTTCAATTCCTGAATATTGGGATGAGCGACTGGAAGGCTCCATAGGAACCTGGCCAGCCTCTCGATGTCGCCGCTTTCTTCTAGGGTCTCGCAAACCGTTGCCACTTGACTGACGGAGAAAGATAGAGTTGGCAAAGCAAGATACGGACAAGGTACAAGCGGACCGTTCGCGTTTGGCGGCGTGGTCCCAGCGGCGGACATCTTCCCGAAACGGTGATCCTTTCGCGATACACCAATTTTGACTTAGCTTGTCTTCTTGGAGTATTGATGTCACCCGGATTTGTCGCGGTTCAGGAAACACGCGGCTCCGATTTATGCTTGCTCTTGGACCTTCTCATGATTCGTCAGAGTCACGCGCGGTATGTTTGTTCATTACAAATGGACGTGACGGTCACTGGATAATTATCCACTTCACTATTGACACCACAAAATTTCCAAGTTCGAATGTATAAACAAAATCAGGTGTTATGACATCTGGAGAGAGACACGAGAAGTTTTAATCTCTCACGAGGCGAGAGAATTGCCCGAAGAACGACGTTTCCGCAGATACTAAATTCTGAAAGCCCACATTGGCGATTCTCTCCCTCCCTTTTTGTCTCTCTCTCTCTCTCTCTCTCTCTCTCTCTCTCTCTCTCTCACGCACGTCGCGACACGTCACTGATTAATTTCGAAACAATTCCCGAGAAGCGGCACGTGACAACGTCTGAATTGGAGCAGGTACGCGTTGTGAAGAGCTCCGATGCCCATTGAAGATCGCTGTCAGGTGGGTTTGCGCGACCGTTCTCCAGGTCGCTCAGGTAACACCCACTAGGCCAGGCGCGCTGACGTTCTTCCACGTCGTGGGGATATCACGCGAGGCCGCTGTTGCCTGGATCGTATCGGATAGCAAACTGGTTTCGTTTACAAGCCGGCATCTCGGCACCGGCCCTACCCAGCATGATACGTTTGTACGCCCGTTGCAACCGGGCTGTCTTGCTGGCGCTCTAGACCTACCTCTACCTCTCTGTCTCGCTACTTCCACCACCGTTCGATCTTAGCGTAGAGGTACAAGCGAGAAAAGAGACGGCGATAGATGGCATCGGGGGGTCCAATGCACAGACCACGCCTACGAAGTACACCGGGATTGGCCGGATCCCATCCACGTAGCCATGGTAACCTTTCTTCGTCCTTCCGTTAGGCAGCATAGGGAGCTACGGTTGTGTCGGTTAATTATCCCTTCCACGTACAGCCGGGCCGGTTATGCGATCCCCACCGTGAACGTTCTTCCACCACTATCGTCGCCCGCGGGCACCTCTCACGCCTTCCCCTCTCTGACAGGCGGAAAGGAAGCGAGACGAGGAAAGAGAGAGAGAGAGCGATCGATGTACCTTGCAAAATGTGGGACGGAGAGGTTGGTAGCTGTCGCGATCGTAGAGGGGAGAAACGACATGATCCCATGAGCTGCTGCTGTTCCTGCCGCCGTGACGCCACTGCTGTTGCTTCTGTTGCTGTGATCTCGCGACGAACTGTTTTCGACGTTGGACTCGGTACCCAAGTGATAGCTGGATAAGATTGATAGGCTGCCAACCATCCGCTCTCAGACTAGCACGTTTACGTATTTCGCTTACTTTTAGTTTATCCTTTAGTGCGAATTTCTCGATGTTTCGTTTACTGATTTCGTTCGCTGATTTTGCTCCTTCATTATCTAATATCTAACTGACAAATATTTTATCTGATATCACTATTCTTGTATGGAGATTTAATTTACAGAGAACATTTCGTTATTATAAATTAACAAATTAATTATAAGAAACAACTCTATTTCTATCATTTCAGAAATGAGTTATAGTTCAGAAATAAAAATATTTAATATTTTTTCGTATTAATCAGAAAGAATATTTAACTCTTTCAAAATACGGTCTCGTTAAAATGGCATGGCCATTGCTAAAGTATGACATTCAACTTTCGTATGAAGAAGCCTTATATTTATAATCGAGTAGATCTCATACCTCAGACAGAGCGACGACAGAAGTTAGCGTATTGAAGAATCGAGGGCGCGCGACGGCGCCGAAGGCGTCTCCGTTTATCGAACGCGCAGCCACCACAGAAGTCTCAGTCCTGTGATAGATATTCTGATTTTATTCTACTTCGGTCGTTTCAATGTAGCCCAGCGAATTTCATTTTAAATCTGCAATCCATATACCTACGTGAATTCTAATAATTTATTATGTGTACGAACTGGTGTGCATAAAAAGATCCAACTGAATCACAAATAAGAAAATTGTCCGAAAGTAGTTTAAAGGTTACCTGAAAACTTTTTTACAAGAAGTTTGAACTTTAATAGCGTAACTGAGATTGTAATAACTTTTATCATAGAAATTTAAATTTATTTTTTAAATAAAAATTATATATAATTTTTAAGTTATTCGTACTTCAAAAATTCAATATTTGGATCCTTTCAATTTATTATAGCGTTAAAACGTTAAAATATATATTTTCGTACTCCTGTTATTCAAATTAAAAGCATCGAGTAACATATAATATCTCTTGATGACACATTTCGGTGCGAATAATAATCACTTCAGGGCTTAATGTATCCACAAGCAACGAGCGCGATTGTTAAATCTCTTGATCGATTCGTAATAATGAAAAAGTAAACGTGGTTTCAACATGGAGGATGATTCCTTCCGATTGCTCTCGTTTATGTTACCTCAACGACCGTTCCGTTACACGACCGGCAACCGACAACGACTGCGATTGGTCAGGGTTAAATCGGATTACGGGACGAGCGGGATTATCTCGAGTTTTTCGAAAGACACCATTTATCCGTGATTATGCTCTCGTAGTTCATGGGATGTGTTCTCGTATTTTCTCCCGTCACGATTTGTCATTCATCCGTCTACATTCGACGTATGTTGTTCCTGTAGTGTTGTATTTTAAAAAGAATTAATGTTTTAATACTTATAGTAACATTCTCCTATTATCTATTTTATCTGAAATTTTATTGAGACCACAGATGTTTATGCCTATTGTTGATACGTATTTATATTTTATTCTTTTTCTGTTATATATATATATATATTTATTTTTGTTCTATTTTGTTTTGTATTTCACTAAAAAGTTTATTGTCTTTCGTAAATTAATATTTTGAATGTTCTGAATAGATAAAACATCATTTTTTCTACTTCAGCATGCGTCTATTGCAAACATAGGTGTGATTGAAAATATTTTATTACGTGTGTCAACCACGCGGCTTTTTTTTTTAAAAAAACTCGCATGTTACACTTATTCCATATTTAGAGAGTTTATTTGCATGGTCATAACTACATATTGGTGGATCTATATCGCGAGTCATCAGTATGGTGTCGCGTTTCAGTAGAGATTTATCAACAATATTCGAAGTGTCGAAAATTGTAACGCTACGAAGGATCAGGTATGACGTTTCGAACAAACCTGAACTAAAATTATTGAACTTAATCCAGGGACGATACTATGTTGTTTGATAATATATAAATAATTTAAATTAGTATTTTTCTGAGATATACACATATATATATATATACATGTTTTTTCTTGCGATATAATACTATAAAAATTATAAATATGAAATATTTTGAAGATTCCAAGTCGTTTAAAAGTCGCATAAATCACTACAGTAAATATGTGTACAGTGAGCAGTTATAAAATTCGCAACTTTTGTTTATTTCAAAATTCATTCTGAAAGAATATCCTATTTATTAGCGACGTTAGATTCTATATGTTGCTTTATTTCTTCCTAGTTACCTACTATAGTTCAAATTTCGGGAAGCATGAAAGTGTCTCCCGTGTAAATGAAAAAAAAGAATTGAAAATAAATCAGTAAAAATTTCTAAGGAATATTATAAATAGATATATTTATAACCACAGGGTATGTTAGTAGATTCTTATAGACGAATGATTATATCGGTGAGGTAAAATGGAACATTGTTGGTAGCTATTATCCGCCACTGATGGTTTCTGTCTGCACATTGTTGTACAGACAATTGACGCTTGAAATTCTTTCCATTCATCTTTCACAGTCTCTTGTGCACTTTTATCTTAGACAAAAGTGCAGCGTCGTAGACAAAAGTGTTGCGTTTTACAATATTGTTTTTAAGGATATATATGTATAATAATTAAACTTTAGTATTAGTATTAGTTGTGCTGAAGATAGAATCTATATAAAAGTTTGCGCAATTGTCAGATGTCAAGGTCCATGAGACCATGCATAATGTATAAATGTGATCGTGAAAGTGACCGAGATGCAGCAACAGCAACGGCAGCAGTAACGACGGACAACTCCGGCGCTTTAATGGTGTCACACCATTGAGTCTTTAACGATCTCTCGGTGTTCGCGCCCGGTGCGATTAATAAACGCGCAATGGACAGATACCGAAGGTCGTAAGCGTACACATGCCTACAGGATACGGACTCGCCGATAATGGATTACGGTCTCGCACGGGATATAATAGAATATCGGACGCGGAATAGCTCACAGATAAATGTCGCGATAACGACAGGTAGGCCGCGGGTATTACACCGTTCCATCATCCATCCCACCCTCGATTACGCGGATCGATCTATCGCGTGTGGGGGTCGTTTGTTTGCCGACCCGCAAAGGTCTTCTCCCCAGAACAAATGATTCCGTCGCATGGCAGCCATTTTACTTTCTCGCCGTGTTCTTTCGTTCATTCTGCCTTCCTCCATCGTACTCGTTTTTCCTCTTCGCCGTAGCATCGTAGCACCGATTTTCACATGGCGCACGGGGTTCGCCATGGCTCTAAGCGGAAACATTTGTCGGCTTTACGGGATGCGAGAGAGAAAGATAAAAAGAGCGAGAGATTGTGTGTATGTGTGTGTGAGAGAGAGAGAGAGAGAGAAAAGAAGAGAGACGGTACTGTGGGTGGGTATTGTGGCGAGACCAGACGAGGTTGTGCTTCCATTGAATTCCTCATCTGGCGGCGGCTATTACTTTCCGCGATGAGAACTGTCAAGAGGGAATCGTTACACGCCGGTAGATTAATCGCCGCCGGGAAACCGAGGAGAGGCGGTCGCGAACCCTTGTTCCTGCGCTCGTGGCACGTCTGTGTACGTGAACACGCGTTTTACATGGCTTCGCGCTATCGTTGCTATACGTTATCGTCGCTGTCATCCAGCCGATTACGTCGCATCGACTGCATACGACGTCGGAATGCAACTGCGCATTCTTGACTTTCCCGGCGGATTAGAAGCGCGGTTTTGCCGTCTGAAAGCGATGAATGTCTCTAAATAACGCAACCAATTCACACCGCGACTGCGACTTTACGTAGCACGCGCGAGTCGTACGGTAATTGCACGTCGGGTTATCAAAAAATTAAAAAGAAGCATATAATTGCTCCTCGACGTACACGTGCGCTTTAAGGATAAACAGGATGAAGGAAGTTGCATAAATACCTTATAAATACCCCGTGGCAAGCACGGGGTCATTCGTCGAATCTTTTAAAATAATAATGGTATAAACATAATGGATTCATGTGTATGCGTTCATCTT